ACTGTCTTCTACTCCCCCCGTGGTCTTTTGCATCCTGTATCGCTTGGTTTCCGATATTTGCAATATATATTTATATATATATATATATATATATATTATATATATATATATATATATATATATATATATATATATATATATATATATATATATATATATAATATATTATATAGAGTGAGAGAGAGAGAGAGAGAGATGTTTTAATCACTAAATTAGGTATTAAAATATTCCTAAAGTTAGTCTCTTTAAAAAGGTGCCTGGATGCTTGTGAAGGGCTCTAGATCCTCTTCACTAGATCAAATTTGACTGCACCTCATTCCCAAGCGCTGCACCACTCTGCCCGTTAAACTTTCCTGTACATGTAGTTATAATAATAATCGTAATACTTTCCCAAAAATGTTTGTATCCTTCTTTGTTGTGATTAGCTGAATTTTAGCCCTAATAACTCTAGCAGTCGGTAGCCTTGAAACTTAATTAACTAAGGAACCTCATGGGAGAGATATGAATTTGTTAAATTAAATGAAAGATTTTAAAAAATATTTTTATTTGATGTAAATAAAAAAAATTCTCTGTAACTGTGGAGCTTAAATTAACAAAAATGATAAACAAACCATCAAGTAAATGTTTATGATAGTATTTTTTCTATTAACATAATACAATCTTTAATGAGAGGAAGTAACGCCATTTATTTTGTGTTTCTTTCATTTACTTGACTTTTTTAATATATATATATATTTTATATATATATATATATATATAATATATATATATAGGAGGTAGGTACATGAAGCAGTGAAGAGTTTTTACGAGGTAGTGAGGCTCAGTTAGAGTATGTAGGAAAGAAGGAAATTTTTCCCAGTAAAAGTAAGGCCTTAGACAAGGATGTGTGATGTCACCGTGGTTGTTTAATATATTTATAGATGGGGTTGTAAGAGAAGTAAATGCGAGGGTCTTGGCAAGAGGCGTGGAGTTAAAAGATAAAGAATCACACACAAAGTGGGAGTTGTCACAGCTGCTCTTTGCTGATGACACTGTGCTCTTGGGAGATTCTGAAGAGAAGTTGCAGAGATTGGTGGATGAATTTGGTAGGGTGTGCAAAGAAGAAAATTAAAGGTGAATACAGGAAAGAGTAAGGTTATGAGGATAACAAAAAGATTAGGTGATGAAAGATTGAATATCAGATTGGAGGGAGAGAGTATGGAGGAGGTGAACGTATTCAGATATTTGGGAGTGGACGTGTCAGCGGATGGGTCTATGAAAGATGAGGTGAATCATAGAATTGATGAGGGAAAAAGAGTGAGTGGTGCACTTAGGAGTCTGTGGAGACAAAGAACTTTGTCCTTGAGGCAAAGAGGGGAATGTATGAGAGTATAGTTTTACCAACGCTCTTATATGGGTGTGAAGCGTGGGTGATGAATGTTGCAGCGAGGAGAAGGCTGGAGGCAGTGGAGATGTCATGTCTGAGGGCAATGTGTGGTGTGAATATAATGCAGAGAATTCGTAGTTTGGAAGTTAGGAGGAGGTGCGGGATTACCAAAACTGTTGTCCAGAGGGCTGAGGAAGGGTTGTTGAGGTGGTTCGGACATGTAGAGAGAATGGAGCGAAACAGAATGACTTCAAGAGTGTATCAGTCTGTAGTGGAAGGAAGGCGGGGTAGGGGTCGGCCTAGGAAGGGTTGGAGGGAGGGGGTAAAGGAGGTTTTGTGTGCGAGGGGCTTGGACTTCCAGCAGGCATGCGTGAGGCGTGTTTGATAGGAGTGAATGGAGACAAATGGTTTTTAATACTTGACGTGCTGTTGGAGTGTGAGCAAAGTAACATTTATGAAGGGATTCAGGGAAACCGGCAGGCCGGACTTGAGTCCTGGAGATGGGAAGTACAGTGCCTGCACTCTGAAGGAGGGGTGTTAATGTTGCAGTTTAAAAACTGTAGTGTAAAGCACCCTTCTGGCAAGACAGTGATGGAGTGAATGATGGTGAAAGTTTTTCTTTTTTGGGCCACCCTGCCTTGGTGGGAATCGGCCGGTGTGATAATAAAAATAATAAAAATATATATATATATATATATATATATATATATTATATATATTTATATATATATATATATATATATATATATATATATATATATATATATATATAAGATCACAGTAAACAGGTGATTTTAGAATATGCAAAACAACCACTGTGAAAGAATAGAGAAATTCCAAGCGCTTTCGTGACTACTCGCATTATCAAGGAACAATGAAAGTAAAGCATCAAAGGAAGGTATATAAAGGGGTAGCCCACACCTCACTATCAGATCCCACAACAAAGAAACGCCTGACGCGCGACTCATAAGAAAGGGAACACTGCAGCAGGCCCGCCGGCCCAACTAGACAGGTCCTTCACACAACCCACCAACAAACTGTTCTACCCAAGAAATAAGAATTTTAAAAATTATTATTTGTCCAATGTATTATTAAATTCTTCCCAAATTTATTAATTGTAAATGGATCTAATTTATATAAACCAAAGGAAATATTCATATTATTGTCAAAACTGCTTTTTATGAAACAAGATTCAATTATATTCCTGTCGACCATGACCTGTCGTGCCGAATAGGCAGAACTTGCGATCTTGGCTTAAATAGCAACGCTCATCTTGCCATATAGGACAAGTGAAAATTTGTGTATGCAATAATTTCGCCAGCCAAAATCATTCTGAACCTAACGAAAAAAATATATTTGATTGTGTTTGTTTAGTAGTAAATTATTGTAAACGTAATTAAAATGTATTTAGTTGGGTTAGGCTAAAATAAATTGCTCTTGTTATAATAAGGTTAGGTAAGTTTTCTAAGACTCTTTTGGTGCAAAATTAAAAATTTTTACATTAACATTAATGAAAAAAATATATCTTTAAACGTATAAGAGAAAATTTCAGAAAGGACTTAATTTTAAATGAGTTCTTGCAAACTGACCAGTTTTACATATTCGGCACGATATATATACATATATATATATATATATATATATTATATATATATATATATATATATATATTATATATATATATATTATATATATATATATATATATATATTTTATATATATATATATATATATATATATATATATATGTCGTGCCGAATAGGCAGAACTTGCGATCTTGGCTTAAATAGCAACGTTCATCTTGCCATACAGGACAAGTGAAAATTTGTGTATGCAATAATTTCGCCAAATTCATTCTGAACCTAACGAAAAAAATATATTTCACTGTGTTTGTTTAGTGTTAAATTATTGTAAACAAATCAAATATATATTTAGTTGGGTTAGGGTAAAATAAATTGTTCTTGTTATAATAAGGTTAGGTAAGTTTTCTAAGATTCTTTTGGAGCAAAATTAAAATTTTTTACATTAACATTAATAAAAATATATATCTTTAAACGTATAAAAGAAAATTTCAGAAAGGACTTAATTTTAAATGAGTTCTTGCTAATTGACCAGTTTTACATATTCGGCACGACATATATATTTATATATATATATATATATATATATATATATATATATATATATATATATATATATATATATATATATATATATATGTATATATATATTTTATATATATATATTATATATATATATATATAAATATATATATATATATATATATATATATATTATATATATATATATATATATATATATATATATATGTCGTGCCGAATATGCAAAACTGGTCAATTAGCAAGAACTCATTTAAAATTAAGTCCTTTCTGAAATTTTCTCTTATACGTTTAAAGATACATTTTTTTCATTAATGTTAATGTAAAAATTTATAATTTTGCACCAAAAGGAACTTAGAAAACTTACCTAACCTTATTATAGCAAGAACAATTTATTTCAGCCTAACCCAACAAAATATATTTTAGATTTGTTTACATTAATTTAATACTAAACAAACACAGTGAAATACATTTTTTTTCGTTAGGTTTAGAATGATTTTAGCGAAATTATTGCATACACAAATTTTCACTTGTCCTATATGGCAAGAAGACCGTTGCTATTTAAGCCAAGATCGCAAGTTCTGCCTATTCGGCACGACATATATATATATAAATATATATGTCGTGCCGAATATGTAAAACTGGTCAATTAGCAAGAACTCATTTAAAATTAAGTCCTTTCTGAAATTTTCTCTTATACGTTTAAAGATATATTTTTTTCATAAATGTTAATGTAAATTTTTTCAATTTTGCACCAAAAGATACTTAGAAAACTTACCTAACCTTATTATAACAAGAGCAATATATTTTAGCATAACTCAACTAAATATATTTTAAATACGTTTACAATAATTTAATACCAAACAAACACAATCAAATATATTTTTTTCGTTAGGTTCAGAATGATTTTGGCGAAATTATTGCATACACAAATTTTCACTTGTCCTATATGGCAAGATGAGCGTTGCTATTTAAGCCAAGATTGCAAGTTCTGCCTATTCGGCACGACATATATATATATATATATATATATATATATATATATATATATATATATATATATATATATATATATATATATATATATATATATATATATATATATATATGTACATATATAATATATATATCTTTTTTTTTTGTTTGCAAGGTGAAAATTTTCGAAGCCCAGCCCTATCATTGGCATATTTTTACACCTCAACATGACCCACATCAGCCGACTAGCACCCGGTTACCTACTGTATGGTAGGTCAACAGGTGCTGTAGTTCTCAGAAGACTTGCCCATAGTTTCCCCTCTCACTAAAATTGATCGTAGGTCTTTCGATTGTAAGCCGAATACGCTGTCACTGAGCCATGGTCAACCTACAGCATAATGAACCAGCTTATAAAAAAGTGACATAAACAGAAAATAGAATAAATAGGAACATAAATAAGCTCATAGACAGACTGACAAACAGCAGACAGGAAAATCTATGAGCATCATTCGTTAAGTATATTACGTATCCCATCACAGGTGTACAGGCTGCGAGGGATGTTCCTACAAAGCATTCTCCGACAGGAGATCGGCTGGTTCGACACCCACCAGACGAACGATTTTGCTAGCAGAGTCACCGAGTAAGTTTCCAGGACGTTGATGCGAGCTCTCTTCTACTCCCGTGCACACCCACTAATATTCGTACCACTGGTTATACTTATTGAATTTCATGGAATTAGTATGTTTGCCTTTTCATGTTATTTTGGTGGTTACTTTTCCCCTCACCTGTTTTCGGCTTTTCCTCCTGTAACTGATTGTTTTCGGGATATTTTTTTTTATTTTTCTCTCTCTACCTGTGCTAACGCGTCTATCTCTCCCTGTACCAATCTCTTCATCGCTGTCTCTGGTAATGTTTTCAGCTCTGCCTGTATCAGTGGTTCTATCTCTACTTATATTTGTATTTGAGTTTAAACGTATGCAAATACAAACACAAGGTCACATACATGTACAAACATAGGTACAGGTAATGACACAAGCACAGGTACTGATACAAGCACAGGTACTAGTACAAGCACAGGTACTGATACAAGCACAGGTACTGGTACAAGCACAGGTACTGATACAAGTACAGGTATTGATACAAGCACAGGTACTGATACAAGCACTGGTGCTGATACAAGCACTGGTACCGATACAAGCTCTGGTACTGGTACAAGCGCAGGTACTGATACAAGTACAGGTAGTGATACAAGCACAGGTACTGATACAAGCACTGATGCTGATACAAGCACTGGTACTGATACAAGCACAGTTACTGATACAAGTACAGGTAGTGATACAAGCACTGGTACTGATACAAGCACTGGTACTGATACAAGCAATGGTACTGATACAAGCACTGGTACTGGTACAAGCACAGGTACTGATACAAGTACAGGTAGTGATACAAGCACAGGTACTGATACAAGCACTGGTACTGATACAAGCACAGGTACTGATACAAGCACTGATGCTGATACAAGCACTGGTACTGATACAAGCACAGTTACTGATACAAGTACAGGTAGTGATACAAGCACTGGTACTGATACAAGCAATGGTACTGATACAAGGACTGGTACTGGTACAAGCACAGGTACTGATACAAGTACAGGTAGTGATACAAGCTCAGGTACTGATACAAGCACTGGTACTGATACAAGCACAGGTACTGATACAAGCACTGGTACAGAAACACATAATCGCAGGCACAAGTGTATAGGCAAACAGGTGCATGAACAGATACAAACACAGGAACACATAAAAATAACGAGTAATAATACATCCTTTGTAGGTATCTCTAGTTCTACTTATATCACAAACAAAGAAAAAACAAACTATTATGAACGCGTTAACAATATTGTGTAATCCTGAGTCTCTGTGTCTGCAGAGACCTGAACAAACTGCAAGAGGGTATCGGAGAGAAGGTTGGCATGTACGTGTTCTTCATGACCAACTTCGTGGCTTCTTTGGTCAACGCCTTCATTCACGGCTGGCTGCTGACGCTGATCATCCTCTCGGTGTTCCCTTTGCTTGGAGCTACCACCGCCCTTATCGCCAGGGTAAGGCGACCTTCCATGCTTGTAGTTAAGATTACCTTCATTCAGTATCATGTCGTGACTGTTACACGTCTATAAACTTGCTGCAATAAGCACATACGCGTTCGTTGGTGATAAATAATATTGATTTAACCTCACATTGGTAGTGGACTATATTTGTTCTTTGTGTGTGAGAAAGGTAACATTCAAGAAGAGATTCAGAGAAACTGGTTAGCCGGACTTGAGTCCTAGAGGTGAGACATACAGTGCTTGCACGCTGAAGGTTGAGTTGGATATTGCAGTTTGGAGAGGCAGATGAGCTGTAGTATCGGCACACCTCTGCCAAGACGGTGATGAAGTGAGTGATTGTGGAAACGTTTCTTTTTTTCGAGTCACCCTTCCTCGGTGGGAGACAACCGGTGAGCTAAAATAATAATAATAATAATAGTAGTAATAATAATAACAATAATAATAATAATAATTATTATTATTATTATTATTATTATTATTATTATTATTATTATTATAAAAATTCAACAATTTTATATTTTAAACAATGCCTGAGTTATAAGGATAAGACTAAAATTTTAACAGAACTGAAAATTAATTACACCGGATATAGCTTCCAGTTGGATAGGAGTTTTTGAACACATTTACATAAGATGTTTTCCGTGGATGCAATGTGCAATAGTCGGCTATCACGTCAGTAGAGCAGCTCTATTTATTAAGTGAGCGGGGGAAACAGAGGTAAGACAACTTGCTCATAAGCTTCGTTGTGCCTGTGTCTCGTACTCTGGCTGTAGCGGTTGGTAACCGGATGTTGTCACCAGTGAACGACGAATGAATTCTCACCAAGGCAGGGTGACACAGAAGGAATCATTTACCTTCACTCACTCCTTCGATGCCTTTAAGAAATTGTGCAAATATCAAAAACCATAACACGCTAGTTAATCCCAACAACCCCACCACAGGACTTTCCTAGAACAAATCATTGTATGTCCTGCACTTATAACTCAGGCTTAGTTAATCAGGTTTCCTGCTCGCACTCGGATAGCGCATCAAATCCCAAAATTTTACTTGCTTAAACTTACTCCGATCTAGCTCGTACACACACACACACACACACACACACACACACACACACACACACACACACACACACACAACACACACACACCAACAACAACACAGACATACACAGGACACAAGACATCCACAACTGACACACACACAAACACAGAACAAACACAACACACAATTAAATTTTCTTCAGCCACAGAGTAGTCAGGAAGTGGAATAGTTTAGGAAGCGATGTAGTGGAGGCAGGATCCATACATAGCTTTAAGCAGAGGTACGATAAAGCTCATGGTTCAGGGAGAGTGACCTAGTAGCGACCAGTGAAGAGGCGGGGCCAGGAGCTTGGACTCGACCCCTGCAACCTCAACTAGGTGAGTACACACACACTCATACACACACACACACACACACAAGAGCTATGACTCGACCCGTGCAACCACAACTAGGTGAGTACACACACACTCACACACACACACACACACACAAGAGCTATGAATCGACCCGTGCAACCACAACTAGGTGAGTACAACTAGGTGAGTACAACTAGGTGAATACACACTTGCCTTCTGAGTACTCAAGTCTATCACTCAAAACTTACTCCTTCACCTCCTCACTTCCTTTCACTTTAATAATAGTTATATTATATATAACAATTACTATATATCTATAGATTATTATTATACATTATTATTATTAATATTAATATTACTTGCAGTATAGTAGTAGTAAAAGTTATTACTGCTCATTCATTTAGTAGTGCTAATACCGTTATGGTAGTCATCTCCTTGGAATGGGGCAATTAGGTTGGATCCGAGAACAGAGAATATTGATCCATTTCCTTAGATGAAGAACCTTTCGTCGGCATCCAGGCAACTATTTTCTGGAACCCATTCACTCTTTACAAGCTGATTTCATAATTTCACACCATTTTCTAATTTCTTTACTCCTTACTCACCACACAATAGTCATTGCACATCCTGATCTCCCAAATCTCCAGCTTCAACCTAACTACAATGTGCAGAGATCATGGCTCGCGCGCGTCCCGTAGCTCGATTGCTAGCGTACTCAGCTTACACACTGAGGTCCGGAGTTCGAATCTCCTCCGGGATGGATGAAAAACGTTAGGACGTGTTTCCATAAGACATCTGCTGTCCCTGTTCACCCATTAGTATGAAATGGGTATCTGTGTGATATTCGACTGGTGTGAGTCACATACTGGGACAAAACTGACTTAATTTGCTCGAAATGCTCCTAAACCTGGACTTCAGGTTTAGTAGGAAGATACTAATAAGCAATTCGTCTTGTTGCGTACAATACATACTATGTTATAAACATAAACAATGATTAACTCAGGGTGAAAAAAAGAAATTAGTCTTCCAAGTCATCATAATCATACACTAAAACAGCAGATCACATCAGCGAGGAAATCAGACGGGAACACCAGGGCGAGGTTAAGGAGACAAGGATTACGTTGGTTTAGTGGGTCTGTGCTTCTGAGAAGCGAAGGCTAGGCTGACTTTAATGATCTAAATTTGTTTAATAAAAGGGGCAAATTAAAATGCATGCATCCTCATAACAATGTGAACTCTACCTTTAAGTAAAACCCGCCCTTGCTGAAAGCCTGAAGCTGGTCAGAAGAGGCATATTCTCCAGATATGTCCCCCCCAAAAAAAATTTTTTTAAGTAGACAGAAAATTTTAAATTCCTGATGCACACATCTTTAAACTAAAAAAAAAAAAAAATCTTCCATTTAGTCAGATGGTCGATATTTAGAAGAACTCTCGGCAGAGTTGAGTAAAAACATACAGTTTAGAGTGCACAATTATTAACTGGGTTTTGTAATGGATTTTTTTTTTTTTTTTGAGATCCAAATTTTTTATTATTTTTATTTGGTTAGGTGAGATTAAGTTAGATTAGGTTGGGTTCTAATCCAACCCAAGCATAACCTAACACACTCCAACTCAACCTTACTAGACCCCCACTCAATCTTACTAGACCCCCACTCAACCTTACTAGACCCCCACTCAACCAAGCCCAACCTAGCCTAACCAAATCTAAACAAAACGTTGCTTAATAAATACAAATCCTGCAGTGGTACTCGCAGTATTGATGCAGGAATTACTCTTCGCTGTTGAAAACACTCTTCTTCACTTAAGATGCAATTATTATTATTATTATTATTATTATTATTATTATTATTATTATTAATATTATTATTATTATTATTATTATTATTAATCAAAACCAAGCGCTAAAGCCACTTATTAAGATGCAAAATTTGTCATAAAACGTAAATTCACAAGAATTACGCTCAGTAAACATTGTGAATAGAATATTATTGTAACATCATGTCTGAACAATAACCGCACAGTGGGCCGGCTCGCAGTTAACCGCACAGTGGGCCGGCTCGCAGTTAACCGCATACCATCTCTAGTAAAAGTATTTAGGTGGCTGATATCATGTAAAATAGCAATTGACCAATTACGTACACAGGTGTAGATATGGCCTGCACACCTAGCCATAATGCGATAACCACTCAGAAATGAACAAAAAGACAGCAGAAAATAAATTAATCCATTTCCTTCACAAAAAATAAGCTGGTATTTACAACATATATAACCTATGCACAGTGTTTACAGCTATGTACAATGAGGCAAATGTAAACATAAGATACGGTGATCAATGAGGCAAATGCATGCACACGACAAGGTAAACCGTGACGACCAGCAGGAAAATCAAGTCAGCCAAAGTTGTTACACGAGTGTACCACATCGCTTCACAGCTTTGGAGGGCTTCCTTGTGATTAGTAAGTTGAACCAAGGAACAAGTGTGACGATGGGGTCTCTGATCGTTATACCCTAAGCACCAGGTTTGCTGTTCGGTAGGCATGCCTGTATGGGTGTGTGTAATATGCCGAGTAAAATGTAACATACTCTTAGCATGCCACATGACTCAAGAAATAAAAATGCCTTCATGGGTTTGAATACCTTGCTTGTGTGATAATAAATAAGTAAACGTCTGAGTTCCAGTTTGAAACTTCTCGAAATATGTCGCCAGATGTATCAACAGTTCAGATGAGGCACTTGTAAGTCATTCCTTTGAAAAAAATACTCCATACTGGCATATTAGTACCTTCTCGCTACAATAATTATTCAAAACATTTTCTGTAGGATACGTCTGTGTTGAAAGTTTGAAGACGATCAAGAGAGATGTTATCAAGCTATTGTAAGGAAACCGCTTTGCTACTTGCATTTTTGAACTTGGTCAGTTTTCACCTACTAACGCTAATAATCCGAACATTCCTATAAATAAGATACATCAATGCCTAAAATATGAAGCAGGTAGAACATAAGAACATAAGAAAGGAGGAACACTTCAGCGGGCCTACTGGCCCATGCGAGGCAGGTCCAAGTCACGTCCCGGCTTAAACCAATGGACCACCTAGTCAGGTCAGGTCGCGTCCACTTAAGGAAAGGGCACGACATCAGTCCTATTAGCACAAGCTAGTCGGTCCAATTCACACCCACCCACACCCACTCATGTATTTATCTAGCTTATTTTTAAAACGACACTACGTTTTGGCTTCTATGACGGTACTCGGGAGTTTGTTCCACTCATCCACAACTCTATTACCAAACCAGTGCTTTCCTATATCCTTCCTGAATCTGAAATTTTCCGACTTAAAACCATTGCTGCGAGTCCTGTCTTGGCTGGATATTTTTAGCACCCTATTTACATCCCCTTCATTTATTCCCGTTTTCCATTTATACACCTTAATCATATCACCCCTAATTCTATACCATTCTAGAGAGTGCAGATTCAGGACCCGAAGTTTATCCTCATAGGGAAGGTTAGATTTCTGATACCTGATACATGGGATCAACTTTGTCATCCTTCTTTATACGTTTTCCAGAGCATTTATATCCATTCTGTAATACGGTGACCAGAACTGTGAAGCATAATCTAAATGAGGCCTAACCAAAGATATATAGAGTTGAAGAACAACCTGAGGACTCCTATTATTTATGCTCCTTGATATGAAACCAAGGATTTTGTTCGCTGTATTGTGAACACTTGTGCACTGTTGTCTTGGTTTCAGATTACTGCTAACCAGAACTCCCAAATTCTTTTCGCAATCAGTAATATTAAGATCTACATAATTTAGTTTATATGTGGCATGGTTATTTTCTTGTCCAGCGTTTAAAACTTTGCATTTGTCTATATTAAACTGCTTCTGCCACTTCTCCGACCACTGCATCAGTCTATTCAAATCTTCCTGGAGTGCTCTAATGTCCTCATTAGAATGAATTAGGCAACCCATTTTGGTGTCATCAGCAAACTTTCTTATGTCGCTATATATTCCCTCCCCAATGTAGTTTATATAAAAAGTGAACACCAAAGTACCCAACACTGACCCCTGTGGAACACCACTCGTAACGCGCCCCGACTCGGGTTTCTTCCCATTGATGCAAACTCTGCTGCCTGTCTGTCAACCAGGAAAAAAATTCTCCTCCTATTCCGTGTGCGTTAATTTTCATCTAAAGCTTCTGATGTGGAACTCTATCAAAAGCCTTACTGAAGTCCATATACAAAATATCATATTCAATACCATGATCTACATCCTCAAATACCGTGGTGAAAAAAGTTAGTAAATTCGTAAAACAGGAACGCCCCTTTGTAAAACCGTGCTGAGATTCATTAATCAATTTATGCCTTTCAAGATGGCTACGAACTGCCTCGGCAATTACTGATTCCATAAATTTCCCCACAATGGAGGTAAGGCTTATTGGTCTTTAGTTCGAAGCTAAGGACCTGTCTCCTGCTTTGTAAAGTGATATTACATTTTCCATTTTCCACTTGTCTGGCACTGTTTTATTCCGGATTTACGTTATTATTACATGCAAAGAAGAGCACTAAACCCGTAGGGGAACAAGGCCTGAGAGGGTATCGATTTTATACCAGATAAAGGACAGTAGTTCTATTTTTCTGAGACCAGATCCCTTTTCCATCATTAAGGCAACTTCCTCGATGGGCGTATTCAGAAAGTCTAAAAATTATTTTACAGAAAATAGAATGTGCATATTTTATTTCATGAAGACACCTTATTAGCAGTAAGTAGATACCTAGGGCTTAACCTATACTGTATAGGATCATCGTCAAAATTTAAACCTATGTACGAAACCTAAATAAAAACTCACTTGCCGACCTTTGTAGGTTACGTCTTAGAAAGGGGATCAAAGGACTCAAGTAGAAATACGCTACACTGATTGATTTTCCTGGGTTTTCCTTTCCCACTGACTCTTGGATTAATAATTCGAATAAAAAAAAATTATTTCGGTGATGCGTACACTGTAGATTAATCTCCGATAACTCAGTAAAGTCAGTGTGGCTCATTTCCATTAGAGTCCTTATCATGTGTCTCTTGTTTATGCATATGTATGTCGTCTTCAACTAATACTAACATTAAATAGTATAACACAAATGTCATACAAGATATTAAACCATCTTCTTGTATGTATATATGGTATATAATATTCTATGTAATTCAGATAATTGCCAAAATATTTGCTCGTATCAGTGTATCGTTACTGGTAATAATAAAAAAATCACCTATCATTCTCCATTATTTCCATTTAAGTTCCAAGCCAACTTATCAGCGAGAGAGATGGAGGAGTACGCGCGTGCCGGCAGTATCGCTGAAGAGGTGATCTCTGCCATCAAGACTGTGGTAGCCTTCGGCGGCGAGCAGAAGGAAATAGAGAGGTAGGTAGGACTCTCCTGGGGGATGCCTGATGTATTCACGCTCCTCCCTGTCCTACAGAGCGCTTCCTTGTGCACTATTCAGACAGAGAGGAAAGGGGGTAAGGGCGACCCTTGATATTGGTGAAGGGCTCGGGATACTGGAAATCGCAGCCACCCTCCCCAGCCTAGGATCAAACTAGATTACTTCCCATTCCCCAGATTCTCTTCTTAGCACTGCGGGTTAAGCACTTCTTCGTTAATATTATAATAATCCTCACCATGAATGTTACCTTCCATTCCAAGATGCTTCTTTATTTGTATTTTCTGAGGTTTGAAAAAAAAAAAAACGTGTTATGATGTCAATATTGCTGCTGTTGTTTTTATACCCGAAATTTATCACTAAGTAATACAAAAATCTGTTACATATTTGCTCGCTGCCAAACATTGTTTTGTACACTTAATACCATCATCATTAATGACCACTCCAAAGTTTTATTAGTCATTTATCTCAGCTTTATGGTGCCCAAATATTTTATATTCATATTTAACAATAGTATCTCTAAACTACCTTAATTTACATTCCTCCACATTGAATTTTTTTCTGACCACAGTTCGAACTTATCCAGGTCCTTCTGAATACTACATTAGGTCACAGATGCTCCCTATTTTAATACAGTTATGTACTGCGAAGTAAGCTATTTTATATGTTCTATTTAGAGATCACCGGCTAAATCTTTGAAAAGGAATAAGTGTTCCAAAAGACGATTCCTGCGGAACTCCTCTTGTTACGTTCAGTCTCTCAGACAGTTACTCGTTCAGCGTCATACGCAGGGTGACCCCCCATGGCCTGCTAGTCAACACTCTCGCTTGTTAGGTAAGACAAATATGCAACAGTTAGGTATCTTTCGAAACGTTTCGCCTACACAGTAGACTTCTTCACATTATTTCTTCTACTAGTGGCCTACATCTCACCTCCTGACAGTATACAAGGCTCCATACTGTTACTTCCAGACTATGGAACAATAATCTTCACCAGGCTGAGGGACTGACCACCTCAAAACTACATCTTCAAGGGTGATGGACTGATTGCATCATCTTCACATCTCTTCCGCTTCTGTCAACTTTTCTCTACTCGACTGAAGAAGCCTACTGTGTAGGCGAAACGTTTCGAAATAAAGATACCTAACTGTTGCATGTGTCTTACCTAACAATATGTCAGTATTGTATACCATTTTAATAAACACTCTCGCTTCACACACTGAGTGTCCGTGGTTCGATCCCCGGCAAGGGTGAAAATATTGGGAGTGATTCCTTACACCTGTTGTCCCGTTCACCTAGCAAGTAGGTGCCTGGGTGTGGGTGGTATCCTGGGGGACAAAATTGAGGACCACAACGGAAATAAGACATCAGTCCCTCGATGACGCACTTTCTTTATTGGGTTATCCTGGGTGGCTAACCTTCTGGGGTTAAAAATCCTAACAAAATCTAATCTCTGACGCCTCTTCCTATCGGTGAGCTAGTTATATTGATCTAGCATGACCTGAAGTTTGTCTCTTATACCATGTTAATTTATTTGGCCTAATTATCTGTTATGTTAATTTTATTGAATGGTTCCTGGAGAACTAGATATACTAGAAGAATGGTTTCTGGAGAACTAGATATACTAGAAGAATGGTTCCTGGAGAACTAGATATACTAGAAGAATGGTTTCTGGAGAACTAGATATACTAGAAGAATGGTTCCTGGAGAACTAGATATACTAGAAGAATGGTTCCTGGAGAACTAGATATACTAGAAGAATGGTTCCTGGAGAACTAGATATACTAGAAGAATGGTTCCTGGAGAACTAGATATACTAGAAGAATGGTTCCTAGAGAATTAGATATACTAGAAGAATGGTTCCTGGAGAACTAGATATGCTAGAAGAATGGTTCCTAGAGAACTAGATATACTAGAAGAATGGTTCCTGGAGAACTAGATATGCTAGAAGAATGGTTCCTAGAGAACTAGGTATACTAGAAGAATGGTTCATAGAGAACTAAGTATACTAGAAGAATGGTTCCTGGAGAACTAGATATGCTAGAAGAATGGTTCCTAGAGAACTAGATATACTAGAAGAATGGTTCCTAGAGAACTAGATATACTAGAAGAATGGTTCCTTAAGAACTAGATATACTAGAAGAATGGTTCCTGGAGAACTAGATATGCTAGAAGACTGGTTCCTGTAGAACTAGGTATACTAGAAGAATGGTTCCTAGAGAACTAAGTATACTAGAAGAATGGTTCCTGGAGAACTAGGTACAACTAGAAGAATGGTTCCTAGAGAACTAGGTATACTAGGAGAATGGTTCCTAGAGAACTAGATATACTAGAAGAATGGTTCCTGGAGAACTAGATATACTAGAAGAATGGTTCTTAGAGAACTAAGTATACTAGAAGAATGGTTCCTGGAGAACTAGATATACTAGAAGAATGGTTCCTGGAGAACTAGATATACTAGAAGAATGGTTCCTGGAGAACTAGGTATGCTAGAAGAATGGTTCCTAGAGAACTAGGTATACTAGAAGAATGATTCCTAGAGAACTAGGTATATTAGAAGAATGACTCCTAGTGAACTAGGTATACTAGAAGAATGACTCCTAGTGAACTAGGTATACTAGAAGAATGACTTCTAGTGAACTAGGTATACTAGAAGAATGACTCCTAGTGAACTAGGTATATTAGAAGAATGACTCCTAGTGAACTAGGTATATTAGAAGAATGACTCCTAGTGAACTAGGTATACTAGAAGAATGACTCCTAGTGAACTAGGTATACTAGATGAATGACTCCTAGTGAACTAGGTATACTAGAAGAATGACTCCTAGTGAACTAGGTATACTAGAAGAATGACTCCTAGTGAACTAGGTATACTAGAAGAATGACTCCTAGTGAACTAGGTATACTAGAAGAATGACTCCTAGTGAACTAGGTATACTAGAAGAATGACTCCTAGTGAACTACGTATACTAGAAGAATGACTCCTAGTGAACTACGTATACTAGAAGAAGGGACTCCTAGTGAACTAGGTATACTAGAAGAATGACTCCTAGTGAACTAGGTATACTAGAAGAATGACTCCTAGTAAAACTAGGTATACTAGAAGAATGATCTAGTGAACTAGGTATACTAGAAGAATGACTCTAGTGAAACTAGGTATACTAGAAGAATGACTCCTAGTGAACTAGGTATACTAGAAGAATGACTCCTAATGAACTAGGTATACTAGAAGAATGACTCCTAGTGAACTAGGTATACTAGAAGAATGACTCCTAGTGAACTAGGTATACTAGAAGAATGACTCCTACTGAACTAGGTATACTAGAAGAATGGAGATATTTCAGTTCAGAAATTTTTAAAATATATTAAGGAAGTCTAATAAAGTCATTAGGCAGAAATTTATTACGAAATCCATATTAATTGTTGTTTAATAAGTTGTGTTTCGGAACATTTAAAATTTGATATTTTTCATTAGTTTACCTCATGAATAACGCGGTAGTGTGAAGCCTAGTTTCTCTCTCTCTTAATGTTGGAGTAACATTTTCTTGCTTACTTCTTTCTAGTTATTTATGAAATATTATTGTTAGTTGCTTTAGAATGTATTGTCTTGTAAGATTTTAACTGATAGTTTGTCTGACCGGGTTAATGTGACCGGGTTACTCTGTTTCTTTAGGTATTTCAACTTACCAAAATTACTAATTTTGCTGATTATTACCTTACTTTAAGATCATATAAATAAATTTTGTAGAGTTTGTGGAAAATTTTGAATTTTCCTAAGTTCAGCATGTGTAAATTTGAATAATACTGATACAAAAATTGCCTAATAAAATGTGATGCTGATTTGATCCTTTCGAGAAATTTCGTGTGAGATGGGGGAAGTAGAACAGCCGCTGAGTGACGCAGACAGGAGAGACGCCATAATGAATTTAATGTGTGAATACTGGTCTGAATCTGAATTGTGCAGTGTAATCAGGCGTCTTCGAAGCTCAGTTGGTGTATATCGGCCTAAGTCTGTAATTTAGAAAATGCTGACACGTTCCTGCTGAAGAATTGGGTTAAATAGTGTGGAAAACCCTTACAATTCGCAACAAGGACGGAAAAATAGACGGCACCAATTCTTCCAAGGAGCACATCTTAGTTAAGTGATGCTTACTCATAATGTACAGTAGTTTTTGAGCTGGCCATCATAAATTCTAGCTGTTAGGATAATGTTAGGGTGTGTTCCATCAGCATTAAGTGTCTATCTGTAACAAAAGGTAAGCTAATGTGTATAAAATTTATTGTTCTAAAGATATGATTAGGAAAAAACCTTCCCTAGTCTCTGCAAAAATATTACAATTAACCATTTCTAACAGTCAGGTACTAAAATCATATACAGTCCACATTATTTCAGAATTTATCATTATTGGTATTAATGTTTAATATTGTAATTATTAATTTAATGTTATGTCTAGCTTTTTTTGTGAGAGTGGTAGGGAGTGGGCATCGAGGGAGTTACAGTTTGGTGACCTACTGTGACTAAGTCCCACTTACCTCACCCAAATTACTTGCAGGTAATAATTCAGGTAATACCCTGCAAACCTCCTGTAGATAATTTCCCTCATAATTAATTAAAGAGTTAGTATGTTTGTGTCACTTTCAGTTGTGATTACTGAGTTGAAGATCGTGTTGAGTGCAAGGAGTGTCTTGATGCATATTTATTATTATTATTATTAAGGATTCGCCGGTATTCTCCCGGCCCGGGCCTTTTCCAAGTGGTGGCCCGGCTTTGGCTCCCTGTCTTGTGAGTGTCTGAGACCTAAGTCTACCATGGGAGGAGGCACAAGTATCCCCTCATCTTTGGGACCAACTGTCCCCAGACCTAGCCACAAGCTAGGCCTCTCTGGTCTGCCATCCCCGCCCCAAGGGGGCTAATGGGAATGACAGGCTTGTGAGCTGCAAGCTCCGGCTCAGACACCTACCCTACCCTAGAAGGGTTGGGCATGGTGTCGATGTCCTGATGCATATTATTATTATTATTAAAGATTCGCCGGTATTCTCCCGGCCCGGGCCTTTTCCAAGTGGTGGCCCGGCCTTGGCTCTCTCTTTAGGGAGTATGTGAGACCTAAGTCTTCCATGGGAGGAGGCACAAGTACCTCCCAAGGGCTGGGCATGGTGTCGATCTCTTGATGCATAATGTTGGTATTAACAACTTTGTGGCTAAACTCCTTAAAGTTTATGTTTAACCAATTATAAACTTCTCTCATATATTCTTACACCAGAAATAGCTTAAAGAATCCCAACAAATAAATAATTAGATTTCTCTTCCTTTCCTAACGACATAAACTAACACTAAGTCTATATTATTATTTTCTGCGTAAAAGGGGCTTTAAATATTTTTTTCCCTCATGTTTAACCTTAACCTTGACGGTACATCATAGAAAATGGATTTTTATGTCACATTATCAGTCTCGCACCGACTATAATAGTCTGGTGACTGGTTACTCGCGTAAACCCCCTCAAGGGAGGTTCTTTGACCCTGGTGAGGGGCTCTTGATCAAGGGAATTGGATCTGTGCTCCTGTTCAATGAAATGAGCCTGAATGCCTTCCATTCCCCCACATGCGCTGTATAATCTTACGGGTTTAGCGCTCCCCATGATTATAATAATAATACTCTTGTAAAGTCATTAAATTAGCGTCGTTGTTTGTCAGCCTGTTAACGTCTTGTGTTGCTCATTCCTCCTGTCAAAGGATTGTTAGTGACCCTCAAGCGCGCCCGGGCTAAAACATTTTAGAGGTTTTACCAAAGACGTTTACAAAATCCTGAATTCCTGTTCTTCAACGGTCCTTGAATCACCGATTTACTCTCCTCCTTTATCAAGATATGAGAGTAACCTGGTGCACGCGCTGAAGGCGGGTCAAAAGAGAGGTCTGGTGTCTGGAGCCGGGATGGGCTTGGTTTGGTTTCTTATCTACGCCGCTTACTCCCTAGCCTTCTACTACGGCACTGGTCTCATCCTAGATGCCAGACCTCCTGAGGGCAACGGTTCCTTCAATCCGTCAAACCTTCTGATAGTAAGTATTCCTTCCAGAGTTAAGATTCCTGAGAGAGACGGGTTCGTCAACTCTTCTAACCGCCTGATAATAAGAATTCTTGGTAGTGTCCCGACGCTCTGAGAGCGACGGTTCCTTCAGACCCGATACAGGTAGGTTCGCAAGCACGGGTCCTGGCCCGGATCTTCTCCATGCGATGACCCTTCAAAACGTCGAAGCTCCATATAGTAAATATTCCTTCTCCTCAACCCTTCCCCCAGCAATAGTTAACTAGAGTTAAAAATTTGAAGCCGATTAGGCAAAGCATTCAGAAGCTGTCTTAGATGGGACGAGAAAATAGTATCTAGCAATAGGATGATTCTGCCATCATGGTCTCCAGTATTTAAGGCTTCACTAAACTCACGAAATTTAAAAATGTATTAAAAACACGAATTTTTAATATTTCTCAATTTTTATTTTGCAATATTGGAAGAAAAAAAATTGATTCTGAGATTTTAAAGAAAGTCCAGTTTGACAGGGAAAAAACTAATTATTAAAAATTAAAAAAAGGCAAAAAAACAAAAACAAAAATATTTCACTGAAAAATTTGGACAGACTGGTTATTATTTTTGACATAAGATGCATCAGCCTTTAAATACTGAAGCCATTCGAAAATTTTGACTCAAATAATTTTAAATGAATGATTAAGCCTGAGCTTTCTACCACCTGCAGCTCACAAAACTGCCATCCCCACGAGCCCCTTTGGGGCGGGGCAGATGGCAGACCAGAGGCCTAGCTTCTCCCAGCGAGCCCCGTGAGGGCGGGGACTGTAGGACCGGGGTACACTTGGTCCCAAAGATGAGGGGGTACTTGTACCTCCTCCCATGGGAGACAGGTCTCGAGACACTCCCCAGACAGGGAGCCAAGGCCGGGTCACCACTCTTCAAAAAGACCCGGGCCGGGAGAGTACCGGCGAATAATAATAAAAAAAAATGAATGATTAAATGGAAATCAAAATTTATTTACGATATGCATCGTGCATTTACTTCATAATTTCATCACAGTGAATCTTCCTCTTTGGATAAATTAAATAAATCTATTTCGACTTTTTTTATTATAAAAACAATAAAACTAAAAAAAAATATACAGGTTCTTTCTTTACGTCTCTTCTGCTTGTGTGGAAAATAGGTTGTAAACATTTAGTGTAAATTATAAAACATTTAACGAATGTGTGTTGAATTATTTTGGTGAGTTAGATTATAAATCTCTCTAAGAACTGATGTACAGTAATGGGAAAAAAATACATTGATCACTTAACATATGACACAGATTTCAGTGTTCTTTTACGAGTAACACAATAAATGAAAAACTTTCCTTTTTATCTGAAAGCGTACTTCAAAATATATATTTAGAAAATTGATACGACTTTTTCTTAAACGAAATCTAAATGTCAGTAACTAATGTACTGAGGTAAAATGTATAACTGGCCTATGTGTTGCGCCTCAGAAACATAACTGCATCAATGACTGGAACTTTGGAAGTGAACCGATCATACTTCTATTGGAATCCAAGCTAAGTCGCGAAAGCACACCACTTAATATGGGCTACATGTATAGAAAACCAGCACAGAATCGAATCTGGGTCTTTTGATTGTGAGCCCAAGGACCGACTGAGTCATGAGTCACTGCACTTACAAATATGATTTGTTTGGATGGTAAATTGGTTCACAGTTCACATCAGGAGAGGTTTATTTTATAAATCATTGGTTATTCTGCCTTGATGTACCCGAGTTCTAAACTTCCCTAATTCACTAACTTCCAAAACTTCCCTAAACTCACATGTTTTTATGTTTGCAGGTGTTTTTCAGCGTGTTGATGGGAGCAGTAAACGTGGGTCAAGCAACGCTGTACATGGAGGCCTTTGGCATAGCTCGCGGGGCAGCAGCTACAATCTTCAGCATCGTGGAGAGGCAGTCAACTATCGACCCGAGCAGCCCTCATGGGGACCGTCCTCCTGACGTTAAAGGAACAATCGGTAAGTAATATTCATGGGGAAGTATAAATCATACAGCTTCTGAAGAATAGAATGCAATCTCGTTTAATCCGAGAAAGGGGTGAGTGGTGCCAGTTCCTTGGATCAAGAACATTTTACCAGCATCAAAGCTCTCCCCGCTGAAGCGCCTGAACTGTTAAAACACTGAAGTTCTGACTGTTTTATGTGAATACAAATCGAGCCTTGATGGATGTTCTCTATTATGAAAATTAAATAAAAATGGATATAAATTACTAGGACTTTGAAGCATGAGGAGCCATTAGAGTCAAATTTTTTATTTTTGAAAGCTGCTACAGTCTTAGAGATGAAATATGACTCAATGTTATTCTTCCTAGATTCACCAGACTCGCAAACATTCCACAACATCGCCTCAAACGTCATAAATTCTGTTCTAATCCGTCTTCCCTTTTAATTTGTGCTCCACATTAACACTTCCCAGCAGTCTCTCATTCATCTTCGACAGAGTTTAAGGACGTGCACTTCAACTATCCCTCGAGGCCCGACGTGGAGATCCTGAAGGGAGTGAGCCTGAGGGTTGACCCTGGACAGACGGTGGCACTGGTTGGAGCCTCAGGCTGTGGCAAGTCCACTTGTATCCAACTGGTGCAAAGATTTTACGACCCCATAAAAGGAAGCGTAAGGCTCTCTCGTCATTTGATACATTTTCTAGTTCACCTGTGCATGGGATGGGAATGGGAGGCAGTCGAGTTTAATCCAAGGAAGTGAGGGGGAGATCCAATTCTCTAGTCTAGAACAATAGGCCTCCACTGGGATCTAGACACCGCCTTTGAACGGAGTCGACGACTAACTCTCTTCCTTTGGTCGCTCCCAACACAAAGTAATCAGACACCGATTTTTCCGTTTTTTGTAAACTTATCAGATATAAAAATTGACGCTTGTCACAATTTTGTATTTTGTCTTTTACTATTGGAGTACTAGAACCTCATAAACTTTCATCTACTAATAAATGTGGAACTAACGATTCCTCTTAAAACACTTTCCTAGCAGAAGAAACGAAGATATTTATGACTGATATGATTTATATCGTACATTGTATTCTTTTGTAATAACAGTAAAGCGACTGGCTTCGTTACACATGGTGGTGCTGGTATAATCGTCAAGAAACAAGTGTCTCCTGACACAAGCAGATGATTTACCCCTTCATTTATTCCTTCCGAGCTAGGCTTTTACACCCCATTAAAAAAATGGTTTTCTGCAGAATAGCGTATTCTAAAATGAGATGATACACTTACGGGAATCCTAAAGACTTCGTTGTACTTTAAATAATTTAATATGTGCTATTGCTAAGATGTTTGTTATTGGTGTTATATTTAAGATATAAATGTATTTATTCCTGAATTAAGAATAAGCTATAAAACATTTTGTGGTTAGATTTGTGGCTATCTTTGAATCCTCATTTTTTAATATATATATATATATATATATATATATATATATATATATATATATATATATATATATATATATATATATATATATATATATATATATATATATATAGAGAGAGAGAGAGAGAGAGAGAGAGAGGGTATCTCCAAATGAAAAAATATGTTGGCTAGCTGTCAGTCAGCAAATATGAAAATTGTATACGTGCTAGTGCATAACTTGAGTCCTCTGGCAGTGTAGAAACTGTTCTTGTTGCCATGTACTTGGGTAAACACTTTAACCATGTTGTGTTGTGCATAAGAAGTAACAATTAGAGAGAAAGAGAGAGAAAATGCAAAGAAGCATTAGCAATAAACAAAATTATCATTTAGCTGGTCTTGAGGTGTTGAGTATGGACACAGGTGCTGCTGGACGGTCGGCCCCTCACTTCGCTGAACCTGGGTTGGCTTCGTGACCAGGTAGGCGTGGTGGGGCAAGAACCGGTGCTATTTGCTACCAGCATCGCCGACAACATCCGTTACGGCCGGCTGAGCGCCTCCATGCTGGAAGTGGAGCATGCAGCTCAGGAAGCCAACGCCCACGACTTTATCATGCAGTTTCCCCAGGTAGTATGTATGTATATATATGACTCACGAAATCGTAATGACACGAGTGCAAACAAACCATACGACGGGAGGGGTTTGAACCCGCGGGTTCAAACCCCACCCGTGATATGGTTTATGTATACACAGTTTGACCAAAGTAAGGGAAAGGGAGATTCCGGGCGAGTTCTTTGGGTATTGTTCACGTGCTGTGTTGGATGGAAAGCAGAACGCCGATACTTAGGGAAACACAAAGACAGTGGAGGAAGTCCATGTCAGACAATGTTTGTTTAAAGACGACTTCTTTTCAGTCAAAGACTTGAAAAAATTTCGTCTTGAACGAAACGTTGTCTAATGAAAAATTGATATGGTATGAAAGTTTTTGTATAACCACATTCTCTGTTTCTTGGAAATGCCAAGAAAAATCACGAAAATGCTTGGTTGGTTGGTTAGTTTCTTGAAAGGGTTTAAGCCTATCGGCTACACTAGGAGTCATGTGGAACTTGTCCACCACAAGCAAGAATACTTAAAATCTCTAAAATACGGATTAAACCAGACTTTCGGATATTTACACTGGGAACGATACAACTCGCGGTGCATATAATCTTTTGAAATCGCTTGAATGGTTAATGGGGTACACGAAATCGCAATAAAAGGATTACTAGCAAGCCACAGAACGGATGGGACTCTAACCCATGGCAGTTGAATCCTGAAACTCGCAGGCCAGCGTGCTTAACTGCTGGACCACATGAACTAGTTAGTTGTGCCACCTAAACGGCTAGTTTATTGTGCATCCCATGCTCATCCTGTGAGTGGCAGTGCAAAAATCAATGATTATAGCGGTCACGGTGGGTCTTTATCAGTCCCCACTGAGCATTGTTATGTCACTAGAAAGAAATGTTAGTCATTTCATATTTTACAATTACGTCAGATAGTTAATGTACACAGTATAGTATGGAATACAATCTCAAAAATGTGATGTCTTATTTCCACTGAAAAAAATTATCATACTTGGGTTACAATCTCTTCTGTAACAACCGTTCTTTCATCTGGTCGATGCATAATGTGAATACAACCTTAAGATTTCAGGTATCTTATCATTAACAATTAGGTGCTTTGCCATATCCTGTAAGGTCTGTATGAAAGTGTCTCTGAAAGGTTGGATGTTTGGGCGTTCAAAAATAAAATGTTCCAGTGTATGACCTTGTCTCTGTCCATACACTTTACATTTTAAGCCATTGATATTTCCATACAAGTCGTACTACCAGAGATACTTATAGCCTCGCCTTAGTCTAACAGAGACAACATCTTGCAGCCTACTGACCTTGTTCCTTTCTCTACAGACATGTTTAACTTAACACATTTCTTTATAGTGGATAATGTATTTGCTAGCTCCTGTCTGTTCTGTTGTACCCTTAAGCTCGTTTGTTGGTTCCTTTCTGACAATATTTCTTAAACTTCTGTTTAAAAAGCAAAAATTATACTCAACGTTCTTTTTATTTAATTCCTGTTTAACTGACCAGTGGTTAAACACTCAAATCAGCTAGTTTTAGGATTCGTCTGCAGTGGGTTCGAATTCCACTTGATCTGTGATTTGGTTATTGGGCTTAAAAGAATATCGACTACAGTTGGGTCATTAAGGCTGCAAGTGTCCTTTTCACTGCAAAAAAGGAATACTTTAATCACTTAAATAGGGACTAAAATAAACTCTTGAAAATATATTCGCTGATAATAATATACCTCTCGATGTATATATCCTGTGTGAAATCGCTGGAAATTTGTCTCTCACTGTGACCAAACTGCATAGTTTTTATTATATTTTTCTATTTGATATGCATATGAACTCTTAAGTGTAAATTTATTTTTCTGATCACTTTTTTAAGTGAGAAATTTATTTATTTTTTTTTTAAATTTCAGCAAAGTTTCCCTAGAATATACAGACATAAGTTTGCTCAAAGATGATTTTCTGTTATTATAACGCCCTTTAAAATTAACGAGGCTCCTTTATTTTAGTTTAGACTGTTAAATCTTTCCTAGGTTAGGTTGCGTTAGCTAACGTTAGGTCACATACAATAAGCAAATTAGGAAAAACAAGACATCACGTGATACGTCTGACAACGAAAAGACCGAGGAAAAATAGGTAACGTGGAATGGTTGACGTGTATATCATTCTTGGTGTGGACTGGTGTATCATTCTTGGTGTGAGAATGGACCGGTCTGTGCATTAGCCATGGTGTGATCGACACCATGCCTAACCCTTCTAGGGTAGGGTAGGTGCCTGAGCCCGAGCCTTTAGCTCATAAGACTGTCATTCCCATTTGCCCCCTTGGGGCGGGGATGGCAGACCGGAGAGGCCAAGCTTGTGGCTAGGCCTGGGGACAGTTGGTCCCAAAGATGAGGAGGTACTTGTGCCTCCTCCCATGGGAGACTTAGGTCTCAGACACTCCCTAAAGAGGGAGCCAAGGCCGGGCCACCACTTGGAAAAGGCCCGGGCCGGGAGAATACCGGCTAATCTTTAATAATAATAAATAATAATAAAGCCATGGTGTGAGAATGGACTGGTATGTGTATCAGTCATCGTGTGAGAATGGACTGATATGTGTATCAGTCATGGTGTGAGAATGGACTGGTCTGTGTATCAGTCATGGTGTGAGAATGGACTGGTCTGTGTATCAGTCATGGTGTGAGAATGGACTGGTCTGTGTATCAGTCATGGTGTGTGAATGGACTGGTCTGTGTATCAGCCATCGTGTGAGAATGGACTGGTTTGTGTATCATCCATGGTGTGAGAATGGACTGGTCTGTGTATCAGTCTTGGTGTGAGAATGGGCTGGTCTGTGTATCAGTCATGGTGTGAGAATGGATTGGTGTATCATTCTTGGTGTGAGAATTGACTAGTCTATCAGTCACGGCGTGAGAATGGACTGGCATGTGTATCAGTCATGGTGTGAGAATGTACTGGTCTGTCTATCAGTCATAGTGTGAGAATGGACTGGTCTGTGTATCAGTCATGGTGTGAGAATGGACTGGTCTGTGTATCAGTCTTGGTGTGAGAATGGACTGGTCTGTGTATCAGTCTTGGTGTGAGAATGGGCTGGTATGTGTATCAGCCATGGTACCAGTGAGAATGGACTGGTCTGTGTACCAGTCATGGTGTGAGAATGGACTGGTCTGTGTATCCGTCATGGTGTGAGAATGGACTGGTCTGTGTATCAGTCTTGGTGTGAGAATGGACTGGCATGTGTATCAGTCATGGTGTGAGAATGTACTGGTCTGTCTATCAGTCATAGTGTGAGAATGGACTGGTCTGTGTATCAGTCATGGTGTGAGAATGGACTGGTCTGTGTATCAGTCTTGGTGTGAGAATGGACTGGTCTGTGTATCAGTCTTGGTGTGAGAATGGGCTGGTATGTGTATCAGCCATGGTACCAGTGAGAATGGACTGGTCTGTGTATCAGTCATGGTGTGAGAATGGACTGGTATGTGTACCAGTCTTGGTGTGAGAATGGACTGGTCTGTGTATCCGTCATGGTGTGAGAATGGACTGGTCTGTGTATCAGTCTTGGTGTGAGAATGGACTGGCATGTGTATCAGTCATGGTGTGAGAATGTACTGGTCTGTCTATCAGTCATAGTGTGAGAATGGACTGGTCTGTGTATCAGTCATGGTGTGAGAATGGACTGGTCTGTGTATCAGTCTTGGTGTGAGAATGGACTGGTCTGTGTATCAGTCTTGGTGTGAGAATGGGCTGGTATGTGTATCAGCCATGGTACCAGTGAGAATGGACTGGTCTGTGTATCAGTCATGGTGTGAGAATGGATTGGTATGTGTACCAGTCTTGGTGTGAGAATGGAGTGGTCTGTGTATCCGTCATGGTGTGAGAATGGACTGGTCTGTGTATCAGTCTTGGTGTGAGAATGGACTGGTCTGTGTATCAGTCTTGGTGTGAGAATGGACTGGTCTGTGTATCAGTCTTGGTGTGAGAATGGACTGGTCTGTGTATCAGTCATGGTGTGAGAATGGACTGGTCTGTGTATCAGTCATGGTGTGAGAATGGACTGGCATGTGTATCAGTCTTGGTGTGAGAATGGACTGGTATGTGTATGTTATTGTGATAGGAGATGCTAATAGGATTTAGTATTTACTTTTGAGTTAGCTTTTCGCTTTCTGTCTCTCCAGAAATACGAGACGCAGGTGGGAGAGCGTGGAGCCCAGATGTCTGGGGGTCAGAAACAGAGGATAGGCATTGCGCGAGCGCTGGTGCGACAGCCTCGCTTGCTACTGTTGGACGAGGCTACAGCTGCCCTTGATAACCACAGCGAGACGCTGGTGCAGCGAGCGCTGGATAAGGTCAGTGGACTAACCTACTCGATACTCATTTTACCACCATCATTTTCTTATGAGGTTCCCATCGCTAACTTCTTAACATTTCTTGTAAACTTTCAAATACTGTTTTCTTTATTTTTTGTTAGGTTAGGTGACGTTAGTGGTTTTTTTTCATGTTAGGTTAGGTAAATTTAGGTTATACGTTCAGTTAGATTAGTTTTAGGTTAGTTTAGGTTTAGCTAGGTTTATTTATATAAACCTGACAAAATATATATATGATCACAAGCAAGAAAATAAAAAAATGGACAACACAGGAGTTCACTTGTGTGGTGCGATCCTTGAGTGGTGGATAATAACGAGTTAAGGTGATGACGAATCAGGGTGATGACGGGTCAGGGTGATGACGGGTCAAGGGTGATGACGGGTCAGGGTGATGATGGGTCAGGGGTGATGACGGGTCAGAGGTGATGACGGGTCAGGGTGATGACGGGTCAGGGTGATGACGGGTCAGGGGTGATGACGGGTCAGGGGTGATGACGGGTCAGGGGTGATGACGGGTCAGGGGTGATGACAGGTCTGAGTAATAATGATCGGTCAGGGCGATGGTGGGTCAGGGTAATGACGGGTGAGGGTGACGACGAGTCAGGGGGATGGCGGGTGAGGGTGATGATGGGTCAGGGTGATGACGGGTCAGGGTGATAATAGGTCACTATGATGATGAGTCAAGGTGCGAGCGAATGAAAGGCCGATCATTATCACATTATGTTACTTGATTAACTCCAGAAGAAACAGAAAAATACTTCTTTTTAAGCTTCCATCTTTGGAATCATTGTGATTTTATCTAGCATGGTATTGTGACTTATACTTACATAATATTGTGACTTATACTTACATAATATTGTGACTTATACTTACATAATATTGTGACTTATACTTACATAATATTGTGATATACTTACGTAATATTATGACTTATACTTACATAATATTGTGACTTATACTTACATAATATTGTGACTAATACTTACATAATATTGTGACTTATACTTACATAATATTGTGACTTATACTTACATAATATTGTGACTTATACTTACATAATATTGTGACTTATACTTACATAATATTGTGATATACTTACGTAATATTATGACTTATACTTACATAATATTGTGACTTATACTTACATAATATTGTGACTTATACTTACATAATATTGTGACTTATACTTACATAATATTGTGACTTATACTTACATAATATTGTGACTTATACTTACATAATATTGTGACTTATACTTACATAATATTGTGACTTATACTTACATAATATTGTGACTTATACTTACATAATATTGTGACTTATACTTACATAATATTGTGACTTATACTTACATAATATTGTGACTTATACTTACATAATATTGTGACTTATACTTACATAATATTGTGACTTATACTTACATAATATTGTGACTTATACTTACATAATATTGTGACTTATACTTACATAATATTGTGACTTATACTTACATAATATTGTGACTTATACTTACATAATATTGTGACTTATACTTACATAATATTGTGACTTATACTTACATAATATTGTGACTTATACTTACATAATATTGTGACTTATACTTACATAATATTGTGACTTATACTTACATAATATTGTGACTTATACTTACATAATATTATGACTTATACTTACATAATATTGTGACTTATACTTACATAATATTGTGACTTATACTTACATAATATTGTGACTTATACTTACATAATATTGTGACTTATACTTACATAATATTGTGACTTATACTTACATAATATTGTGACTTACACTTACATAATATTGTGACTTATACTTACATAATATTATGACTTATACTTACATAATATTGTGACTTATACTTACATAATATTGTGACTTATACTTACATAATATTGTGACTTATACTTACATAATATTGTGACTTATACTTACATAATATTATGACTTATACTTACATAATATTGTGACTTATACTTACATAATATTGTGACTTATACTTACATAATATTGTGACTTATACTTACATAATATTATGACTTATACTTACATAATATTATGACTTATACTTACATAATATTGTGACTTATACTTACATAATATTGTGACTTATACTTACATAATATTGTGACTTATACTTACATAATATTGTGACTTATACTTACATAATATTGTGACTTATACTTACATAATATTGTGACTTATACTTACATAATATTATGACTTATACTTACATAATATTATGACTTTATACTTACATAATATTATGACTTATACTTACATAATATTGTGACTTATACTTACATAATATTGTGACTTATACTTACATAATATTGTGACTTATACTTACATAATATTGTGACTTATACTTACATAATATTGTGACTTATACTTACATAATATTGTGACTTATACTTACATAATATTGTGATATACTTACATAATATTATGACTTATACTTACATAATATTGTGACTTATACTTACATAATATTATGACTTATACTTACATAATATTGTGACTTATACTTACATAATATTGTGACTTATACTTACATAATATTGTGACTTATACTTACATAATATTGTGACTTATACTTACATAATATTGTGACTTATACTTACATAATATTGTGACTTATACTTACATAATATTGTGACTTATACTTACATAATATTGTGACTTATACTTACATAATATTGTGACTTATACTTACATATATATTGTGACTTATACTTACATAATATTGTGATATACTTACATAATATTATGACTTATACTTACATAATATTGTGACTTATACTTATATAATATTGTGACTTATACTTACATAATATTGTGACTTATACTTACATAATATTGTGACTTATACTTACATAATATTGTGACTTATACTTACATAATATTGTGACTTATACTTACATAATATTGTGATGTACTTACATAATATTATGACTTATACTTACATAATATTGTGACTTATACTTACATAATATTGTGACTTATACATACATAATATTGTGACTTATACTTACATAACATTGTGATATACTTACATAATATTATGACTTATACTTGCATAATATTGTGACTTATACTTACATAATATTATGACTTATACTTACATAATATTATGACTTATACTTACATAATATTGTGATATACTTACATAATATTATGACTTATACTTACATAATATTGTGACTTATACTTACATAACATTGTGACTTATACTTACATAATATTGTGACTTATACTTACATAATATTGTGATATACTTACGTAATATTATGACTTATACTTACATAATATTGTGACTTATACTTACATAATATTGTGACTTATACTTACATAATATTGTGACTTATACTTACATAATATTGTGACTTATACTTACATAATATTGTGACTTATACTTACATAATATTGTGACTTATACTTACATAATATTGTGACTTATGCTTACATAATATTGTGACTTTTACTTACATAGTATTGTGACTTATACTTACATAATATTGTGACTTATACTTACATAATATTGTGACTTATACTTACATAATATTGTGACTTATACTTACATAATATTGTGACTTATACTTACATAATATTGTGACTTATACTTACATAATATTGTGACTTATACTTACATAATATTGTGACTTATACTTACATAATATTGTGACTTTTACTTACATAGTATTGTGACTTATACTTACATAATATTGTGACTTATACTTACATAATATTGTGACTTTTACTTACATAGTATTGTGACTTATACTTACATAATGCTGTGACGTTTCCTTATATAATACAGCATTAACTTCACATTTCAGAAGAAGGAATCACAGTACCATGGCTGGGACAATTTACAATTTTTCACACTAAGGAATGGAAAGTACAGACGTCATTTAGCCACATCTACGTTATTTTATGTCATGTGTTTCTGTCTTGCAGAATGCTAAAAACGCGTTTCCTACAATTTTGAAAAAATTATCTGTTAATGATTCTGGATACTCAGATTTACCGTTTCTTATGTCACGTAACTTTTCTTGAAACTTTTCCTTTATTCAAAGATATTAACATGAATGTTATATATAAAATTCTAGGTGACGTTAAAAGGCTACCTGATCTGAATTCTACGGAATATGTATGATTACGTTTACCTGGAGCACCAGGTTAGGTTAGGTCAGGTTTGCCAGGAAACAGGACAAGTGTTTCCTGACGCGGGTCTTAGTTATATGATGACACGCCGCTGCAGCTCATGGTTATCTGACCGTGATCTTCCATTGGGTTACCGGTCCTCCGGTTTAAAAATTATTATAACCATTAGTATATGTGGAGCACCGGTATCATGTAGGTCACTTATAGGTGGGAAATGAGTAGGCTCCATCATCCGCTAGCTAACTGCAAGAATGACACAATAACTAATGGTAATTTCTAGGTGTATTATTAGTATCATATTCATGAGAAAGCGCTGGACCTGTAGGGTGCCGTACAACACCTAGGGTAAACCATACCACGGGCGGGATTTGAACCCGCGGTCAGAGAGTCTCTGACCGCGGGTTCAAATCTCACCCGTGGTATGGTTTGTTTGCAATCGTGTCATTACGATTTCGTGAGTCGAGTCAACATCTAGGGTACTGGAGAATATAAGGCTTGAATCAAGCAAGAGGAGGGTAGCTTCAGTGCCTTGGATCAAGAGAGCTTCACCAGCGCCTTTGCTCTCCCAACCACCTTCTCTTCTGCTTCCTTGAAGAGAAACATGAACAACATATTTTGTCCAAATTGTGTTTAACTTTACAGAGAAAATACTGAAAAAAATCCAGGATTACCATTAAAATAACACATATGTTTCCGAATGCTTTTTTTTTTATACATAAATAAATGTTCATCATATTTTCTTCAGTTAAAAACTTATGAAATGACTACATGCAAATGTATGAAAAGTGAAAAAAATGTTACAGTGAGGTTTTATAAAGCCAGTGTGAACATTTCGAATATAATCTGTTAAAGTTTTAAACAATGTTTACGGTATATATCACATTTGATAAGACTTGCTTTAATATGACTTATATAGTCTGGTTCATATATAAAGTGTTCCACTGATTTTCGTGTATAAACCACCTGCTAAAAATTTGCTATCTTTCCTAAGAAAGGAACCGATAAATCACGAAAGGTCTTGGAATTTGTTTCTTTGTTCATCGTTGTTCAATTGCCCACAGAGGCACTCAGGCATACTAAACTTGGCAAATCTCCTTTAAATGCCAGCTGCAATTCTTGGGTTGTAATCGTCACAGGTCAGCCAGGGCCGCACCACCATCATCGTAGCTCACCGCCTCTCCACCATCAGGACGGCGGATAAGATAGTGGCCTTCGATAAAGGCAGAGTGGTAGAGGAAGGCACCCACGAGGACCTCATGTTACAGCGGGGTCTCTACTACAAGCTGGTGACAGCCCAACTCTCACCTGGGGATCTGAACACTCAAACAGGTAAGTGAATAGTTAATCCGGTTTAAAGCCTATTGCCAGCTAGAGTCCTTAAGGGAGGAACTCACCTGTACACAAACTTCATGAATTCCTTTAATCAATCACACAGGATTGTGTTAACTAGGTCTTGTGAACTTCGCTTAAAAAATGATTGTTTTGACAAATCTTTTAGCATGTTACCAAAGAATACCAAATACAGAGAGGAAAAAAAAAAAAACAGTAAATCGAAAAAATGGTCACTGATCCACCCTGACCTAAGTCATCCCCTCTTACACAGGCTCTCATGAAACCCCGGGTACCAGACCCAGGGAGGAGTTGGAAACTATGATTTCAGTGGCGGAGATCACCCAGGAGATTATACAGGAGCTGGCTGCCAAGGCTCCCTCCTCCAGGTGTCCAAGTGTTAGGAGCTCTTTTCGTAGACGCTGTCCTCCTTCGTCCAAGTTCGATGTTTCTGCACACTCCAAGCACACGGTTTCTACAGACGAAGTGAGTCCTGTCACTGAGACTGACTGGTGCAGACTTCTGTGATAGCGTGAGACATTGTTTTACTGAAATTTCTTTTTCTGCATCTACATTCACTTGTTTTGTGTCTATTATTATCATTATTTATTATTATTATTATTATTATTATTATTATTATTATATTATTATTATTATTATTATTATATACTTTTATTTTTATTAATATATTCAATGAAAATGCTTACGCCCCGTACTTATCATTCAGCATTTTCAATATTTCACCATTACTGTCTCAGACATTCCAGGAGGTGGAGGAGGACGAGGACAGACAGGTCACTCTGTATAAGATCCTTATGATGAACCTTCCAGAGTGGCCATACATCCTGCTGGGCGTCATCTGCTCGGCAATGATGGGCGCCACCACCCCTATCTTCGCTATCCTCTTTGGGGAAGTGTTAGGGGTAGGTTTGGAGGAAGGAAATGAATACTATTATTATTACATTTTTGTGAAGCAGTAAATCCGTGTGGGGTCATTTAACGCATACAGTGATGGAAGCTGTGTAGGCTCGGTCCTTCCTTCGCTAATCACAGGATAGATACGCTACTCCCGCAACCCGTTTCATCCATTCCGGGAAAAGAAGATGGTTGCTGAAGTGTATTCTGGGTGGGACGAGATGTGTAAAATGGTGCTGGTAAGAAGTCATTGGGCTGTATTTGCAGTATGTCTTGGGGGTAACTAATTTCGAAGCCGATCCCTATTTAAAATATACTTCCACCTTCCAATATGGAATTTACGACAGTCTATCATTGTTTACTGCTAGATAAACAGGGGGTTATAAGTTTAAGGAAATACCCACAGGATTTAACCTGGGTTCTTTGATTGTGAGTCATAGGCCCGACTGAGTCATGAGTCACTGTACTTCTTGCAAATTTGGTTTATTTGGTTGGTAAATACGTTCACGGGGGTGCAGGATGAAATCATGTGAATAATCGAAATTGTTAAAAAAATAAATATTTTCATTAAGGGGAGTTTAAGAACAGATTAGTTTTCGAAAATAATTTTATGCAAATATTATGCAAATCATCAAGAAAATAAACCATACCACGGGTGGGGATAGAACCCGCGGTCAGAGAGTCTCAAAACTCCAGACCGTCGCGTTAGCCATGGTATGGTTTGTCTGCAATCGTGTCATTACGATTTCGTGAGTCATCAAGAAAATAACTGGTATAGGCTCGATCTTTGTTTGCTAATAGCTGCCCTGTCTGTGATCATTCAGACTGCTGTGATATTCCTGTTATTAACACAGTGTGGTTTATAGGAAATCTCTCAGACTTGGCACTCAGTGTGGTGCGGCATTTGACACAATATGTAGTTCTCGACGCTTGTTTTTCCTACAGTTATTTGAGCAGTTATGTCCTGAAACCATGTCAAAAATATCATACAAAACTTTAAGTTATCGACATGTAGACGTTCTTAGCTGATTATTTTTTGCAGTATCATGCTAGATAATTCGCATGTACAAGAGAAAGGCATCCCAGCTTCAGATAACCCCAGCTTCCTCTAACATTCCCTGAGGTAAGCATGAGGCCCAGAAGCTTTAATTCAAAACCCTCTTAATGGGCCTGGGCCTGTAGCTCAATACCATCAAAAGTCCTAAGAGCGGTAGCTCAACACCCTCAAGAAATTCAGAAAGTGTAGTTCGATACCATTAATTAGTCCGGAAACTGTAGGTCAACACCTTTAAACGATTTTGGAACTAGAAATGAACCGTCTGATACACAAGTGATGTTCGAGATATAGGAGACAGGAGCGTGCGATACATAGCCTTTAGTAAATCAGGAGCTGGACCTGAATACCAAAAGAGATATCAGACCAAAAATCTGGCGTTCAACCTCAGTAAATACAGATAGATAAGTATTGGGGCCAGGAATTGTAGCTCGCCACCTTCAACAGACGTAGAAGCTGGAGGTCAACCTGGACCTCTTAGTGCACTGACCTACAGCTCCTTGGCTTCATGAATGAGTTGAGCTACAGCTTCCGAACCTGCTGAGGAAGTCGAGCTAAAACTATTGGGTCGATTTAAGCATTTGAGATACAACTTCTGGGCTTTTTGAGAGTAGAGATTTATATCGCTTGAGAGTGTTGGACTTGAAGCTTAAGGAATACTAGAGTACGAAGGTTGTCTAGAACTGGAATTACTTCTCTCAGTTGCAAACGACAGAAGTACTAGTGTTCTTTCGCTCTTTTTATAATACTTACTGTGGCATGTTTACAGACTCTGTCACTAGCAGAGGAAAGTGAGGCGAGAAGAGAGGCCAACCACTACGCTCTCATGTTTCTGGTTCTCGGGACTGTTATTGCTTTCGCCATGTTCATGCAGGTATTGTACTCTCTCTCTCTCATTCTAATTTTTAACTAAAAAATCTATAAACGGAAGAATTCCTGTATAAGCACATATCTTAATAAAATATCTTAGGTAAATATATGAGAGAGATTTTCTACTGAACGGTCTTTAAAACTCTCTCCGACCAGCTAGTGCAGTCTTGATGGCCAGGTATATGCATCTCACTGTTTCCAGTTGCCTCTACAACTCTCCCTCTCCTCTTACCATCAGCTGATAGGTTAACTGAGGCAACAAGCCGGCAAGCAAGTGAAATGACCAGTAATGCAGATCATTCTTTACAAGACCTTTCGGTCAGAGATGAGATTTGTTATGTATTGATGAAGCTCAATACTGAGCGAAAGGTCGACCTTCTGCAGTGTCTTTGGATAATATACAGAAATTGTATCCCGAAATGAAAGTGATTCAGAAATAGATTTTGAGCAGTATTCATTATTCATTTATTACAATATTATAAGCAAATACACAACAGTAAAATCATAGAACATTATAATAAGAAAAATAATAATAATAATAATAATAATACAGGAAGTCGTGGATAGGTTCTTGGAAACTGCGACTTTAAGCGAAACGATGTATAACGAAATTAATTTTACCATAGGCTAACTGATACAAACAAAAGTTGCTGTGCCAATTGAGAGCTGAGAGGGAGGGCAGTAGTGCTGAAGACGCCATGACAATTGAGTATGTCGCTCTGGGGCGCTATAAAGTCGCACATTTAATCTTTTATTTACATTTTTATTATTTTAAGTATCACATGTTTTTTCAGAATTATATAAGAAATACGTTACATATCATAGAAACCGAATACAAACAGCCATAAGGGAGGAAATTGGCATAATAAAGCTCGGTAAGCAGCTGCCGCTTCTTTGTCAGCACTTGCAGACTCTCTTATTATTTGTATGTTTGTATGTCAGTACTAGAACTCTGGTTTTTCTTTAGATCTTCAAATGAACTTAAAGCCTTCAATTGTACGGCCATTAGCGAATATGGAGAGTTATGCCGATGCATGTTCTCCATCCAGATATTTAAAAATCTTTCCATATTTTCCATTCCTGGCCAGGAATCGATTTATCTTCTTCATCAACGTACGAAACGACGTTGAACGAAACGACGTTAAGTGAGGACTTCCTGTAATAATAATATTAATAATAACACAAGCTATTCAAAGTACTTATTATCATGCAGTAAGACCATCGGCAGATCTACATGTTTTCACTGTCTGGTGAGAGACTGACTTCACGACTTCGCAAGCTGCTGTTGGAAGCCATGCTCAAGCAGGAGGTGGCCTGGTTTGATGACCACAACAATTCAGTAGGTGCGCTATGTTCCCGGCTGTCTGGGGACGCTGCTGCTGTACAGGGGGTGAGTAGATGGTGTATAAGTGGGGTGTATATGTAGACTTTGTAGAATAGTGTTTTGTAGTAGAAAATTATTGGGGGGGGAAGGGTAGTAGTTGGTTCAGTTGACAATGAGTGCCAAGGAATGATGACGATTTTTTTGTGGTATGTGGTTTAAATGGATACTGGAGACCTGATGGTCTATTCCATAGCTAAGATACTGCTAGCTCAGTTAAAACGTTGACTCTGAGCAGTTGAAGTTTGAGTAATATATCAGAAGGCTCTCTTCCTATTCTGTACTTACTTAAACCTCAGTTTGAAAAATTAAGTAAAGAAAATATCATGCGTACATGTTTAGTTAATAAGAAAAGTAGAATTAGAGCATATACTATTTCAAGAGCTACTACTACTTTTAATATTACTTCATTTTCCATTATTACTTTTCTTAATACTAATCCCTACAGGTTTAGCGCTCCCCATGATAATTTTACTACTACTATGCCCTGGATGGTCTATGATCAGTCAGTCATCTTGAGTGGTTAACGCAAGTGGTGTCAGTAGTAGTAGTAGTAGTGGTAGTAGTAGTAGTAGTGGTAGTAGTAGTAGTGGTAGTATAAGCAGTAAAAGCAAAAGTCATTTCAGTATTAGTAGTGGTAACGTCGGTATCTTTAACATGATTGCTATCAGTTAGGTATCTTGGGTTCCGAAACATTTCGCCTTCTTAGTAGGCTTCTTCAGTCGAACGCAGAGGTAATTACACAGCAGAAGCTGTAGAGAGTTGAAGATGATGTGATCAGTCCTTCGGCCTTGAAGTAGTTTTGAGGTGTTTAGGCCCTCAGTTTGGCGAGGAGTTCACTTCCGATGTCTTGAATAATGTAAGGCCTAAGCATTGTTCATGGTTATCGAGCTGAACATCTCTCCAGGCTGAGGGAGTGACCACAACGAAACTATTTCTTCAAGGCTGATAACCTGATTACATCATTTTTCCCTCTCCATTGCTTCTGCTGACTTCATATTTAGTCAACTTTGCATTCGACTGCAAAAGCCAACTGTGTACTTGAAACGTTCTGAAAATTAAGAATCCTCTTTAAGACATCTAAAACGGATTGAATGTAGCAAAGACTGTAATAACAGAAAGAATTCCAGGAGCCAGTTTATACCTTAGACCTTATATTCACTAATAATAAAGTCCTGGTTCAGAACATTATAGTAACATATATAGTAAATTCAGTCTATAAAAACAGAAGTTTAGGCATGCATGCCAACCGGTCATAATCAACAAAATATACAAAAATGTGGGCATGTTTAACAAATTAACATAAACAACAATAACATTAACTTAGCGCTAATGAATCGTGAGCTTGCTGAAACATGCTGAGATGATAATTTAATAAATGATGACTTAGTATATCGAGAGGATGAGCTCACTGGAATTAGAAGGTTGCTCCAGACACTTAACCGTTAGGAAGGAGAAATATGACCCAAATGAGTTAGTTCTTCATGAATGAGACACAAAATGCTGCAGATATCTCCCTAATCTTTGATATACCTCTAACCCCACCTTAACTTCGAAGAAGTCATTGACTGCTTGCCAAAGAACTCTGCCCCAAGCCCAACTCGTGGATCTCGATATTCACTAAAAAATTGCAAGAAACTCTTATTACGTGCCTGAAATATTCTGTGGAGTAGCCTTGATAGTGAAGTCATCCCATAGTCGTTAAAAGCTACTGATATTGCCCTCACCCCACAAATGTGGCAGTAAAGTAATTGCAATAAGCACCAGACCAATAGTCCTAACGTCCTGCATTATCAAGAGTTTCACAACCCAGGTCAGCATTTGCGCAACCCAAGTCAACATGGGTTCAGAACAGGCCACTCCTTCCTGTCGCAATTGCTGGACCTTAAGGAAAAACTGGAAAGGTGGGCAGATTGATATTTAACTTTCTAACAAGTAGAACCCGAAGAGTAATACTATACACAGGAAATCAGGTGCCTGCTACAGTGCAGCAAAGTTCTTTCCCCACGGCACATCATCATCATATCTGAAATAGCTGGAACACAAATTCTTTGCAGACGTTTCTAGAATTTGTATAAAAGTGGCATCCATAGAACATACAATGAGCCTCAAAAACTGATGTAAAGTAGATCTTCCAGTGGGCTACTGATATCGGTACAATGTTCTATGAGGACAAATTTCAATTATTACGTCAAGGAAGAATTGAGGAAATAACAACAAGATCTGAATGCAAGACAAACTCAGACCAGTCAATAGAAGGTAAACCAAATGTGAGAGGAATGAGAGTGATAATGTCAGAAAATCTTACGATCAAGGAGCACAATAATATTATCACGCCTGTAGGATAAATGATAGATTGGATAATTAGAACCTTCAGACCAAGAGTTACCAGGATAATGATTCTACTGCTCAGATCGCTCGTTCTCTATAGGCTGGAATATTGCTGTATACCAAGGCAGGCGAAATTGCTGAACTACAAAATGAATAGAGAATCTTCACAGGTTGTGTAAACTCAGTCAAGCACCTAAATTGCTGGGAGCACTTGAAGTCTCTCCTTTGAACGTCGGTAAAAAAAAAATACACCATAATTTACACATGGACGATACCGTAGGGATTGGTTCCAAACCTGCACACCGAAATTAATATTTATGAACACAAGAAGCTTGGCAGAGGGTACAGGATACCTCTAATGAAAAGCAGGGGAGTGCTGAGTAAACTGAGAGGGAGCTCAATAAATGTTAAGGGATCATAACTTTTCAACTCCCTCCCTTCATGCATAGGGAGGATTACCAAAAACCCCTGTCTTCATTACTGGAACTCGATTGACTCGTCAAAACAGTTCCTAATCAGCCGGGATGTGGTGCATACTTTGGACTGCAGGAACTGGGCACTAACAGCTTGATCGATCAGGCCAGCAACCAGTAGGCCTGATCCATGCCTCCTGAGTGCTGGCAGCAGGCCTGGATCAGGCCTACGGCCTGATCGAGGTCAACGCTTCCGGATGTCACCGCAGTGACATCCGGAAGCGGCTCCAGGTAAATCTAACTGTTGCATATGTGTCTTGTTTACTTGTGGGAACTGGATATCATTATTATAATGATGATTACCACTACCATCCAATCATTCATTCCTTCAGCCTCATTTAACTCTTATTCACTATTTCTTTGGCTGTAGGCAACGGGATCGAGGGTGGGTACCATCGTTCAGGCCGTCAGTACCCTGGGCATCGGGGCAGGCTTGGCCCTTTATTACGACTGGCGTCTGGGTCTGGTCTCGATGCCTTTCGTTCCCTTCGTCTTACTGGCCATGTACCTGCAGAGCAAGATTCTGACGGGGCAGAGCCTCACTGAGTCCAAGGTCCTCGACGATGCGGGGAAGGTGAGTGACCGGAGCCACAAAGCCCTCCAGGTTCTATTGGTTTGGGGTAATAGATCTGGACCAGCCAGGTGAGTTCTTGTGACATGGTGGGCTGACCTAGACCGGCTGTCTGATTCGGTGGGCTCTGTTGGCATGGGGTAACGGACCCGGGCGGCAGTGTGGGTTCCATTGTCGGGGTGGATAACCTTGGGCCGGCTGACGGGTCTGTGAGTATGAACCCTGGCCGGTCAGGAGACTCCATCGAACCAGGTGTTTCATTATATTATGTTATCTTCTTTGCCCATGGTTTAGCGCATTTGTTAAATTTGTTACTAAGGGCAATAATTTAAGTAATAATAATAATAATAATAATAAAGGTAATCATCATCATCATCATCATATTATTATTATTATTATTATTACTATTATTATTATTATTATTATTATTATATTATTATTATTATTAAGGAAACATGCATGCTCGAAAACCCTGGTATCTATAAAAATAAACAGATAGACAAGCATATTGACATACGGACTAATATATATATATATATATATATATATATAAAATATATATATATATATATATATATATATAATATATATATATATATATATATATATATATATATATATATATATATATATATATATTTATATATAAATATAGGGAGGTACCACCTCTGGAACTGTCCTAGGGACCCTCATCCTCAGAGAAAAGAATAAACTTGCTTCAGGGAAAACTCAAGGTTCTCCCTGAAGCTGTTTGAGAATTTATTACATATATATATGTATATATATTTAATATATATATATAAAATATATATATATATATAATATATATATATATAATATATATATATATATATATATATTATTTATTATATACATATATATATATATTATATATTATATATATTATATATATATATATATATAAATATATATATAATTATATATATTATAATATATATTATATATATATATATTATATAATATATATAATTATATATATATTATATATTATATATTATATATATTATATATATTTTTTTTCAACAAGTCGGTCGTCTCCCACCGAGGCAGGGTGACCCAAAAAAGAAAGAAAATCCCCAAAAAGAAAATACTTTCATCATCATTCAACACTTTCACCACACGCACACATTATCACTGCTTTTGCAGAGGTGCTCAGAAAAACAACAGTTTTAGAAGCATATACATATAAAGATACACAACATATCCCTCCAAACTGCCAATATCCAAACCCCTCCTTTAAAGTGCAGGCATTGTACTTCCCATTTCCAGGACTCAAGTCCGACTATATGAAAATAACCGGTTTCCCTGAATCCCTTCACTAAATATTACCCTGCTCACACTCCAACAGATCGTCAGGTCCCAGGTATCATTCGTCTCCATTCACTCCTATCTAACACGCTCATGCACGCTTGCTGGAAGTCCAAGCCCCTCGCCCACAAAACCTCCTTTACCCCCTCTTTCCAACCCTTTCGAGGACGACCCCTATCCCTCTTTCCAACCCTTTCGAGGACGACCCCTATCCCTCTTTCCTTCCCCTATAGATTTATATGCTTTCCATGTCATTCTACTTTGATCCATTCTCTCTAAATGACCAAACCACCTCAACAACCCCTCTTCTGCCCTCTGACTAATACTTTTATTAACTCCACACCTTCTCCTAATTTCCACACTTCGAATTTTCTGCATAATATTTACACCACACATTGCCCTTAGACAGGACATCTCCACTGCCTCCAACCGTCTCCTCGCTGCTGCATTTACCACCCAAGCTTCACATCCATATAAGAGTGTTGGTACTACTATACTTTCATACATTCCCTTCTTTGCCTCCATAGATAACGTTTTTTGACTCCACATATACCTCAACGCACCACTCACCTTTTTTTCCCTCATCAATTCTATGATTAAACCTCATCCTTCATAAATCCATCCGCCGACACGTCAACTCCCAAGTATCTGACAACATTCACTTCTTCCATACTCCTCCTTCCCAATTTGATATCCAATTTTTCTTTATCTAAATCATTTGATACCTTCATCACCTTACTCTTTTCTATGTTCACTTTCAACTTTCTACCTTTACACACATTCTCAAACTCATCCACTAACCTTTGCAATTTTTCTTTAGAATCTCCCATAAGCACAGCATCATCTGCAAAAAGTAACTGTGTCAATTCCCATTTTGAATTTGATTCCCCATAATTTAATCCCACCCCTCTCCCGAACACCCTAGCATTTACTTCTTTTACAACCCCATCTATAAATATATTAAACAACCATGGTGACATTACACATCCCTGTCTAAGACCTACTTTTACCGGAAGTATTCTCCCTCTCTTCTACACACCCTAACCTGAGCCTCACTATCCTCATAAAAGCTCTTTACAGCAATTTAGTAACTTACCACCTATTCCATAAACTATGCAACATCTGCCACATTGCTCCTCTATCCACTCTATCATATGCCTTTTCTAAATCCATAAATGCAATAAAAACTTCCCTACCTTTATCCAAATACTGTTCACATATATGCTTCAATGTAAACACTTGATCTACACATTCCCTACCCACTCTGAAGCCTCCTTGCTCATCCGCAATTCTACATTCTGTCTTACCTCTAATTCTTTCAATTATAACTCTACCGTATACTTTTCCTGGGATACTCATTAACTTATTCCTCTATAATTTTTACAATCTCTTTTGGCCCCTTTCCCTTTATATAAAGGGACTATACATGCTCTCTCCGCCAATCCCTAGGTACCTTCCCTCTTCCATACATTTATTAAACAAAAGTACCAACCACTCAACACTATATCCCCCCCTGCTTTTAACATTTCTGTCATGATCCCATCATTCCAGCTGCTTTACCCCCTTTCATTCTACGTAATGCCTCACGTACCTCCCCCACACTTACATTCTGCTCTTCTTCACTCCTAAAAGATGGTATACCTCCCTGACCAGTGCATGAAATTACCGCCTCCCTTTCTTCCTCAACATTTAAAAGTTCCTCAAAATATTCTCGCCATCTACCTAATACCTCCCTCTCCCCATCTACTAACTCCCCTACTCTGTTTTTAATGGACAAATCCATACTTTCCCTAGGCTTTCTTAACTTGTTTAACTCACTCCAAAATTTTTTCTTATTTTCATTAAAATTTCTTGACAGTGCCTCTCCCACTCTTTCATCTGCTCTCCTTTTGCACTCTCTCACCACTCTCTTCACCTTTCTTTTACTCTCCATATACTCTACTCTTCTTATAACACTTCTGCTTTGTATTATATATTATATATTATATATCTTATATATATTATATATTATATATATATATATATATATATATATATATATATATATATATATATATATATATATATATATATATATATTATATATATATATATATATATATATATATATATATATATAATATATATATATATATATATATATATATATACATATATATAATAATATTATATATTATATAATATTATTATATATATTATGTATTTTTTTTTATTACTTTTTTTATCACACTGGCCGATTCCCACCAAGGCAAAGTGGCCCGAAAAAGAAAAACTTTCACCATTTTCACTCTATCACTGTCTTGCCAGAAGGGTGCTTTACACTACAGTTTTTAAACTGCAACATTAATTAACACCCCTCCTTCAGAATGTAGACACTGTACTTCCCATCTTCAGGACTTAAGTCCGGTCTGCCGGTTTCCCTATACCCCTTCATAAATGTTACTTTGCTCACACTCCAACAGCACGTCAAGTATTAAAAACCATTTGTCTCCATTCACTCCTATCAAACACGCTCACGCATGCCTGCTGGAAGTCCAAGCCCCTCGTACACAAAACCTCCTTTACCCCCTCCCTCCAACCTTTCCTAGGCCGACCCCTACACCGCCTTCCTTCCACTACAGACTGATACACTCTTGAAGTCACTCTGTTTCGCTCCATTCTCTCTACATGTCCGAACAACCTCAACAACCCTTCCTCAGCCCTCTGGACAACAGTTTTGGTAATCCCGCACCTCCTCCTAACTTCCAAACTACGAATTCTGTGCATTATATTCACACCACACATTGCGCTCAGACATGACATCTCCACTGCCTCCAGCAATATATATATAAATATATATATATATATATATATATATATATATATATATATATATATATATATATATATATATATATATATAATATATATATATATATGGGCTACTAGAAATAAGAAGAAAACCTTTATCCTGGGATGTTCGAATATGCGTTAATGTGGTGCGGATGATAAGAAAGAGATAATTGTGGATATTATGAATGAAAAGAAGCTAGATATCCTGGCTCTAAGTGAAACAAAGCTGAAGGGGTAGAAGAGTTTCAGTGGGGAGAAACAAATTGAATTTTATGTCAAGGGTTTCTAATAAAGTTATAGCCAAGGAAGGAATAGCAATAATGTTGGAGGATCAGTTATGGCAGGAAAAGATGGAATATTACTGTATAAATTCAAGGATGTGAAAAGAGATTTAGAGTGAATGCTTATATACTTGGAGAAGAGAGAAGTGTAGAGGAGAGAGAGAGCGAGAGAGATTTTGGGAGATGTTGAATGAGTGCGTGGAGAGTTTTGAACCAGGTGTGAGAGTAATTGTGATGGGGGACCTAAATTCTAAAGTGGGAAAAACTGCTGTGAAGGGAGTAATAGGTAAGTTTGGAGTGCCAAGGGTAAATGAAAAGAGATGACATTTAAATGAACTTTGTATAGAAAGAAGTTTGGTAATAAATAATACATATTTTAAGATAAAGAGGATAAATTATTATACAAGATATGGTATAGGGCGTAATGAAAATAGTTTGTTGGATTATGTATTGGTGGATGAAAGGTTGATGAGTAGACTTCAGGATGTGCATGTTTCTACATCATTATTTAGTTGTAACTGAAGTTATAATAAGAGGTAGATGGGGTAGAAGGAAAATGACGCCGGCGAGTAAGAGAGAGAGAGAGGTGAAAGTTTATAAACTCAGGGAGACGGAAGTTAGGGTGAGATATAAGCAACTACTGGGAGAAAGGTAGATTAGTGAGAGTATAGGTAATGCAGGGGTTGAAGAAGGGTGGGATAGTTTAAAAAATGCAGTGTTAGAATGTGGGACAGAAGTTTGTGGATATACGAGGGTGGGTGCAGGAGGAAAGAGGAGTGATTGGTGGAATGATGATGTAAAGGGTGTGATAAGGGAGAAAATGTTCGCTTATGAAATGTTTTTACAAAGCAGAAGTGACATAAGAAAAGTGGAATATATGGAGAGAGTGGTGAGAGAGTGTAAAAGAAGAGCAAATGATAGAGTGGGTGAGGTGCATCAACAAATTTTGCTGAGAATAAGAAACAGTTTTGGAGTGAGATAAATAGGCTGAGAAATCCTAGGGAACAAATAGATTTGACAGTTAAAAACATAATAAGGGAGCCGCATATCCCATTCTTATAAACGTATGTTCCACCTCCCACAGACCTCCCCCGAAAGCATCACGTAACTGAAGGTCTCTAAGCAGGCCTCCCAAAACTGAGGAAAAATATCCCGCTCCTCTGGGTTCCACGTCTGCCCTCTTAACTACACAATTCCAATCCCCCCCCACAATCGCCACCGACGGTAAAGTGCGTAGGTAGTACACGAGCTCCTCCCGCACAAAATCCATCTTCACTTTCACGTCACTTTCTGCTGGGGCATACACACACACAAACGCCACTCTCTCTCCCATCCACCATCCTTCCACACGTAATACTCTCCCCCCTCCCCCCCTCTTTCCTGTGCAATACAAACGGGCTCGCCTCCCTGATCAACACACCCACTCCTCCTTTTAAGCGCTCAGACGGCAACACATAAGCCTGATACCCAGGCACCTCTAATTCACGACCAAGCTTAAAATTGTGCTCCTGCACAAAAGCTACGTCAATCTTGTACCTATTCAAAAACATCCTGAAGCACTCACGTTTAACACCATCACACAGACCATTAATATTTATTGTTACACACCTGAGGCCGGCTTAAGGTTTCCCTCCCCACCTCATGTCATGACTCTTCCCTTTCAAACCATTTCCCTGGGCTTTGCCTTTGCCACATACTCCACCCTCCTTCCCAACCATCCCCCCCCCTTCTGTTGTGGCCCTCTCGTAGAGTCACTCTGAGCACCATAACCCCATGTCTTTTTTCCTTGTAGCTCCTTCAGTTTCCATATCTGAGTCCTGGGAGCCAGCACAATGGACTTCCACCTCTACCACCCTTAATCCGCCTCCATGTCCTTCCATGGCACTCACACTGTCCATCACAGGTGCCACCTGATCCTCCCCCCTCCCGCACACACCTTCTGCCCTGATCCCAGGTTCCTGCTCACTGTGACTCTCCACCTCCGTAGACTCTAACATAGCCTGTATCACCGTCTCCAACTCCTCCTCAATAGCTTTCACTTCTGCGCACACCTGCACCTCTTCACTTGACAGCTGTACTGTTGATGGGCCAGGTGATTCATGGATCTCCACTTCTTCTGATTCCAGAGGAGGAGCCATCACCTCTTCACTCCACAAGCGACCACGCCCTCCTCTTTGCCTCCGTTCTTCCTCAGGCATCGGTTTCTCATGGACAGGTGTTGCGCCCCTTGCCGGCCCAGGAGCCATATTCCGCTTGCCACAGTCTGCCGCCATATGGTCAAATTCGCCACACAGTCGGCATGTACGCCTCTGCCCAGCATACGCTACCATGACCTGGGTTCTAAACTCCTCGAGATATACATACGAGGGTATAGGATGCCTTAGCGTCATCTTGAGATTGAAAGAACCCTCAGGATAACCTGTGTAAGCTCCTTTTACCCATTTACCAGGTTGGGCCAGATGTACAGTGCCATAACGTTCGAAAACATTGCGTATATCCACTTCATCAGCCTCAAAAGGCACGTTTCGGAGCTTAACCCACGAATAATGTCGTGATACATCCGTCAACTTGACCCTCACTGCCGGTGTTACGTTAATGCTGACATCTTGATAACGATCCACCAACGCCTCGTATACTTGAGCAGTTAGCACCTTCACGAATATTCTATACACACCGTTCAGTGCCACTCCATACAAATCCTCGTCTCTGATGCCGTATGTCTCTCTCACAATTTTGGGCAATAACACATCAACTGACGTAGGCGTTAAAGCCCCACTAATGAGCTCAATGCCCTCAGTATTCACCCTTCTGCGCACACCTGGCGCCATGTTGTTGACTGAGTAGCTCGTCTGGGAAAACAGTAGAGGGGTGCAAAGCACGACCGCACTCTACCTCATCCAGGCAGCGAATGTGACATGAGCGTCAATACATGGCACTAAAACTTGTAACAACTGTTACTTAATTGCCACATCAGCATATGCGTTCTTGAAATATTCCTGCCTAACACATAACTAATAACAATAGCATGAAGATGAATAAATAACAATACAAAGTCGAACACCTTCATTTTAGCTATTAATGACGATATTCGCAATGTAATATTAAGGTTACAATCATGAATATAATTTCTTTTAGCCTTACCTAGGTGCAACATAGGCATTTTCTTAAAAGCATTGAAGCCTGTTTCAAGAGCAAAAATGGTTTACCTCTGCAGTACATTCTTGCTCTCCATAAACTCATACGCAATGACAACATCATTATCACTAATTCAGACAAAGAAGGCAAGATAACGATTTTGAAAAAAATATACCAAAGTCCATGACCTATTAAATGACAATAACATATATGAGAAAGTGACCAAAAATCTCATCACCACTGTAAGTGTTAACTTTAAGAAAGAAGAACGAGCCATAGGAATTAACAAAACAGATCAAAAGAACAAACCCAAGTCTGCCTTACTTCTATGAGTTACTCAAGACCCACAAGCAGGGAATGCCATTAAGACTAATCATTTCCAATAGAGGATCAATTTCGTAGAAATTAGCTAAATGGTTAAATGATCTTCTATTTCCTTTCCTCGGCAAAATTTCCATTCATCCTTGATGCATTCAGAAGATTTCAATGAAAAAACTAGAACTATAAGCTTGCAGAATTAAAAATAAATCAAATCAGGATGTGGATTCCTTGTTCACCATAGTGCCAGTCGATGATGTTTTGAATTTCCTCGCCACCAAATTACTTTCAATTCAAAAGGCGTTTCCACTTTCCACCCAGAAAAATCTTAGCCCAGAGTGTTAGGATATGCGTGAAACAATATCAGAGTCTGTGTGAAGCATAGTGTTAATGTTTGTGTGAAGCAGAGTGTTAATGTTTGTGTGAAGCAGAGTGTTAATGTTTGTGTGAAGCAGAGTGTTAATATTTGTGTGAAGCAGAGTGTTAATGTTTGTGTGAAGCAGAGTGTTAATGTTTGTGTGAAGCAGAGTGTTAATGTTTGTGTGAAGCAGAGTGTTAATGTTTGTGTGATGCATAGTGTTAATGTTTGTGTGAAGCAGAGTGTTAATGTTTGTGTGAAGCAGAGTGTTAATGTTTGTGTTAAGCAGAGTGTTAATGTTTGTGTGAAGCAGAGTGTTAATGTTTGTGTGAAGCATAGTGTTAATGTTTGTGTGAAGCAGAGTGCCAGTGTCTGTGTGCTGGACAAGCCTAAAGAGAAATCAAGTATGACGGGAAGGAGGTCTAGAAACCTTCAGTCTACTGTAAAAGGTCCATTTGCATATGTGATCTACCTTTGACCTGTTTAGCCATACTGTTCACCAGTCTATTCCATCCCTGATCTGTCTAATTGGCCTCGTACCTATCTATTTAACCTTGACCCATTATCTGACCTCTAACCTGTCTAGTATACCTTTTACATGTTCAGCTGACATCTGACCTGCTTAACTGTCCCCTTATCTATCAGTCTGTTTACATGTATCATCTACCTCTTTTGCAGTTAGCAATCGAGGCGATCACCAATATCCGGACGGTGGCGTCGCTACACCAAGAG